CGCAAAGCCTGTGGGTAATATTACAGACATCAACATACAGCCTCCGCCCACAGCCACTCACGAGTGCTGAAACGGGGCAAGCGCCTACGTTTTCATTTCACATGATTGGCTCCACCCTCTGGTGTTATCTGCTACGCCCACGAACAGCCTACGACGTAGACACACCTGCAGTCTGTCAGGCGGGTCGCGCTTCTGCGTTGCCGTTTTCACCCCACTCTGAGTTAGCTGACCCAACCCAACGGTGACGCCACTTGTCAGTCAGTAGAGTTTCCTAGTCCCCAATCAGTGGTCATTTGACTCAGCAGTACAGGACTGGCTGCCAGTGACTCCCCAATGCAACACGGTTCGTCAATGAGCTCAATGAGCTCCCAATACAAGTCCTCGTATAAGACCTATCATCACGGCACTGTTATGGCCCCCAATATCTACATCGCCGGCGGCCCAGCCATCTGTAACCTCCAGTCCCAATACATCGCTGTCCGTCTGTAAAACTCAGTACATTGCCCTGCGTCAATAAAACTCCCAACACATCACTGTCCATCAATCGACTTCCCCACGCCGCCCTGTCCGTCGAGGCATAGCATGCAAATGCAGCGGCTGGGCTTCGCCAGAAGGGGAGGCAACAAAGACATGTAAGGCAGAGGCCCAACATGCCCCGCGGGTCCCGCGCATGGCGCCGCACCCGGCCAAGCTCCACTGCGGAGCTGGCCAGGCTTTGAAGCCTCAGGGTCCAGATGCTGGGGAAGGCGCAGCTCGAAGGCCGGGAATAGCTCTGCAGGTGCGCCAGGGGTAGGGGTCGACCAGGTGGACGGGGAGGGCGGCAAAGTTCAAGGGCGATACACAGATGGGGGAGGATGTTACAGTCGTTTGGTGAAGTACCGTGTCAGACGACGAGATGCACACTGGGGGATGGATGACATTGGGGTGATCGGGAGGCAGGGATGACGATCGGAAGGGGAGGAGCTGTTGATCGGGCGCTAGCGGAGGGGCTAATGGTCGAGAGGGGAGGGAGTGGGGATGTAGTAGAGTCGACAGGTGGTAACGGTGTGTTACCTGACGTTCCCTTGTTGCCGGATGCGCAGCCGTTGGCGGGTGTGGTACGACCCTGACCAAAACGGGGAGTGCCAACGGTCGCCGCAATGCGATGCAATGCTAGATGCACGTTCGACGCCATTGCATACTGCGATGCAAATGATCTAGAATCAAGGCAAACTGCAAATGTAGATGAATGCATGACGCAAACATGGAATGCCGTTCGAAGACACACGAATCGTGTGCAGACGGAAGCCTCACTGAGGCTTCTTACTGACCTCGGGTGCGAGGGACAGCCCTGTAGTTTCTCAATGCCTAGGCACTGCACGGAAAGAATCGTCTTCAAATAGAAGGTATTCATTCTCTCTCTGTACTGGCTTGGCTACACGGTAGGGTGACCGGTTTTGCAAAAAGTTTCGAAAAGTTTTGCTCCCCAGGTCTAATCTAATGTATTTGGGGGTGCTGATCACGAATTCGGCGGAAAAAATAAAAAATTCGAATTTTTTTTGACCGCCCCGGCTCTTTGAATATTTCCGGTTTTCTCAATTTTTGCATGTTTTTGAATAATATGATGAATGTAATGAAAAAATATTAACAATGTATCGCTAAATGCATGTACCAGTCGATTCGGCATACAGCGGCGTCGAAATCGGCACGCCGCCTGCTTCACCGGCCTCGCAGGAAAGCATAAGGCTCGGAAGGTTTGCGTTAGTTACCCGATTCTCTCCATAGATGGCGCTGGCGTAGCCGCCCGCCGGCCGGTCGTTGCCGTGCCGTTCACAGCCCCGGCGGTCACTTGCGACCGTCGTGGTCGTTATGCTACGTCTATCAAAGCACGACAGAAATGTTCACTTCATTTTTGTGTTACTTCAGACATATTTTAGACCTAATGTTGAATTGGATAAATGACTATCGTGAATTGGCGAAATAGTGGAGTGCGCTCGGGAGCCATTTACAATAGCGAGGAACGTAGGTGGATTGATCTGAGTAACATATTATGACACTGCGTTCACTGTTGATATGAAGTTTATTCACACTATGTAGTCGGGTGACATGAGAACAAAGTGACTAACATATACCTTGTGTACGACAGGCGACACATGGATGAAGCTAATGCTACTTTTTCATTTTGTTTCGGTAGGCCCGTTTGTTCAGAGCGTAGCCGTCCTGTCGGTCTGCGCCTGTTACAGCTGTGACTGATTCGGTGGTCAGCTTTACGGCCCTTTCGGTGGATTGGGTCTGGCAGGGGACCCCCGTTTTAAGGGGAGTCTGTAGAAAGTCGCGCAACTCATCCTCGCTCATGTGTCGTACACAAGGGGGCTCAATGTCTCGGCCCTCGTCAACCGCTCGCTGCACGTTAACCAGTTCCATATAGTTGTTCGCTTGAACGTTAATTTCCGGCAGCCGGAAGTGCCGAATGGGCTGCTGCTGTGGCGGTGGGGGTGGCAGCTTTGGCGGCGGTCGTGGCGGCGGTGCCGGCGGCGGTGGTGGTGGTGGTGGTGGTGGTGGTGGATGGCCGCCGCCGTTTCAGACGCCGCTGCTGCTGTTGTGGCGGCGGCGGCGGGGGCGGCGCCGGCGGCGGCGGCGGCGGCGGTGGCGGTGGTGGTGGTGGCGATGGCCGCCGCCTCTGTCGCCGCTGCTTCTGCTGTGGCGGGGGCGGGAACGGCGGCTGCTCCTGTCGCTGCCTTTTTTGACGAATGCTCTGGATTATGCGGACTGCATCTGCCCTAATGCCATGATTTTCATCGCCGAGCATGGAGAGCAGCACATTTTCCTCATGAGCCATGTAAGCATTCCTCTCGACGCTACTTTGCATGCACGCCAGCGACTCGCCAGTGAAGTTCAGCCGCTGGCGGCGCAGCTGCTGGCACACGCGTCTGAAACGGCGGCGGCCATCACCACCACCACCACCACCACCACCACCGCCGCCGCCGCCACGACCGCCGCCAAAGCTGCCACCCCCACCGCCACAGCAGCAGCCCATTCGGCACTTCCGGCTGCCGGAAATTAACGTTCAAGCGAACAACTATATGGAACTGGTTAACGTGCAGCGAGCGGTTGACGAGGGCCGAGACATTGAGCCCCCTTGTGTACGACACATGAGCGAGGATGAGTTGCGCGACTTTCTACAGACTCCCCTTAAAACGGGGGTCCCCTGCCAGACCCAATCCACCGAAAGGGCTGTAAAGCTGACCACCGAATCAGTCACAGCTGTAACAGGCGCAGACCGACAGGACGGCTACGCTCTGAACAAACGGGCCTACCGAAACAAAATAAAAAAGTAGCATTAGCTTCATCCATGTGTCGACGTGTCGTACACAAGGTATGTTAGTCACTTTGTTCTCATGTCACCCGACTACATAGTGTGAATAAACTTCATATCAACAGTGAACGCAGTGTCATAATATGTTACTCAGATCAATCCACCTACGTTCCTCGCTATTGTAAATGGCTCCCGAGCGCACTCCACTATTTCGCCAATTCACGATAGTCATTTATCCAATTCAACATTAGGTCTAAAATATGTCTGAAGTAACATAAAAATGAAGTGAACATTTCTGTCGTGTTTGATAGACGTAGCATAACGACCACGACGGTCGCAAGTGACCGCCGGGGCTGTGAACGGCACGGCAACGACCGGCCGGCGGGCGGCTACGCCAGCGCCATCTATGGAGAGAATCGGGTAACTAACGCAAACCTTCCGAGCCTTATGCTTTCCTGCGAGGCCGGTGAAGCAGGCGGCGTGCCGATTTCGACGCCGCTGTATGCCGAATCGATTGGTACATGCATTTAGCGATACATTGTGAATATTTTTTCATTACATTCATCATATTATTCAAAAACATGCAAAAATTGAGAAAACCGGAAATATTCAAAGAGCCGGGGCGGTCAAAAAAAATTCGAATTTTTTATTTTTTCCGCCGGATTCGTGATCAGCACCCCCAAATACGTTAGATTAGACCTGGGGAGCAAAACTTTTCGAAACTTTTTGCAAAACCGGTCACCCTACTACACGGTCACGTATAGCAGCGGAGCCCTGCTCCCTCCGAGCAGTGGCGGATCCAGGGGGGGGGGGGGCAAAATGGGCATTTGCCCCCCCCCCCAAACGGCATAATTTTAACATTACGCCTTTGGACGATGCATGGAAAGAATCGATAAATTGTTATGGTTTGCCCCCCCCCCCCCAAAAAAAAAAAAAACTCTGAGCTGGATCCGCCTCTGCCTCCGAGTGACGTAATGATGGCTCTGTTCTCACCCGCACACCTCTACTATCACAGATCTCACCGAATATCTCACCAACCATCCTCACCAACCATTCCAAGCATAGCCATAAGCCAGCTACTGTTCACATCGCACCTCGGACCACCCCATCCAGCAGTGTCCAGAGAGGCGTCAGCAGGGCGCTCGGAAGCCCCGGCAGTGGCGCCCGCGGCCTCCGCCCCCGGATCCCAGATCGACGATCGATAGGCCGCTACTAAAGCCGCCCGGTGCGCGAAGGACGGAGGAAACGCCTCGGGGGCCCGCCGCGGCGGAAATGCCCGAGTGGTCTGGACCTGGCGAGACGGATATCTTGGGATTGGGCTATATGAAATGTTACAACACAACAGCAATGTGACATAAGACATCTTCACGGAGGGGGAAGTGTTGAAGCCAAACACTTGTGGAAATGACAATCAGCGCCTGCGATTGGTCTACAAAGAAGCATTCACTGTTCTAAATCGAAGTCCTCAATTCCAAACGATTCCAGGCCGTTGGGCGTTGCCAATATACTACAGGCACCCTACCGCTCCGCGTCTCCTGCCTGTGTTGAGTCTGACCTCGGCCGTCCCACGGGCCGGGCAACGGTGCGGCACGGGCCACGGCTCGCGGCCCCGCTGCAGCTGCGCCAATCGGAGACAAACGCGGCGCACACAGCGACAAGCGACACACCATTTTCGAGCCCCACACTTGATCCACTCGGTACTCACATGCGCTGGGGCTACTCATCCACCCGTCCTCGTTGTCGTTTTGGCGGCAGAATCGTTCGCGCGCTCGCGGGGCCCACCGGCCGCGGGACACACCTCGACACACGACCGTCCGCCGCCGCCGCCGCTCGCTTTCTCGACGGCCGTGACGTCACAGCAGACAGCCGACGGTGGCGCCAAAACAGGGCGCGTAGTGGTGGCCGAGCGCGCGGGCCGGAACGGCGGGCGGTCGACGGCGATCGCACGGAGGTTTCCCGATCGAAATCGATTCTTCTGACTAAAGTAACATACCGTGTACGAACAAGGAAAAATTCTGAACACAGTGAACCACAAAGTCGGTAGAGCTGTGCGCTCAATAAGGTACAAATACTCCAACCAGATCGACTCCTTTTGGTCCGCACCATCACTAAATGTTCTGGGAAATCCAGCGTGTGACGTCACACACGGTCCGATCGATGCGGTTTGGGCCCGGGCGGCAGCGGCCGGCGGCCGGTCACGTGACCAGCTCTGTGTTCCGCTGCTGCACCCACGCTGGTGGAGAGGTGCGGGCGGCCGGCCGGAGCGGCTCGACGGCAGGTAGCCGTCGCGCAGCGAGCAGCGAGCAGCAGCAGCGAGCTCACGGTCACGGCAGCGGCGGCCCGCGACCGGTCCGGTAGCCAGCTGACGGCCGAGTCAGCCCAGCTGTGACGTAGCACTGACGTGACGTCATCCACTGGGAAGCTGCCGCCCAGAGTGTGATGGCCTCGGTCACGAATACGATCGTCTGAATCTCTGGAGCGTGTGTAAGAGAAAAAAAAAACATTGGTCTTTAGGAGCCATATTCATAACTCATAAGGAAGGCATAAGCCCGTTTAAAGGGACCCTCCCACCTTCAAAAAAGTTAATGAATTGGCATGAAAGTGATGTCGCTCGGTTCAGAAAGAGCAAAAATGAATATCTACCAAATTTCATCGAAAAATATTCACCGGTTTTCAAGATATTAGACTTTTACTTTTGTTTACTTTTTGGGATCTCCGCTGTTCCTAGCGACTTTATTTGAAAGTGCGGCATTTGTTGCGCGCAAAGCAGCATATACCACCGCGTGCTGCCAAACGTTTTAGTAAAAGATTTAAAAATCGTTAGATCTCCGCTGACGTCACAAATTCTAAGGGGGCATACCAATGCATTAGCCCCTTAGAATCCGAAAACTGCAAGTTTGAAATTCCATATCTCCGAATTAAAGCATTTTTCGATGTTGTGAATGCCCAAACCGGTATTTTCAGGCCATGGCCACCAATTTGGCTATCTCAACTCAAAACTAATGTTAACCCGCGCACCGACGGGGGGGCGGATATCCGCCCCCCCCCCCCTGAGGTTTTTCGCGAATAGCGGGAAAACCGCGGCGCGTAGCGCCGCGAAATTTGGTATGACTATTCCCTTATCAATTTTACACATGGTGTGCAAGTTTGAACCTCCTACCTTTCAAGGTCAGGTCACCAGGTCACTTTGAATGACCCAACCTCAAGTCACTTTTTTGCAACTTTGTCACCGTGCCAGAGCTACAGTAGATGTCGGAGGCCTTTGAAAGTCGCAGGATGTTATTAGGTCATTAGTAGCTACAATTTGTTTATCTCGGAATTTTGATATCGGTGACCTAAGGTCAGGTCAATTTCGCGACCTCCCCATTATAAGTCAATGAGGGAAAAATCAACTCCCTGTTTTTACCACTAAAACGGGTCGGAATGGCCCCATATACCATACATGACTTCATATACGATCAACCTTCACTACCTTGAGGTCTGTTTTGCTGTTGGGCAGCTGTGAGGTCATGTGACGTCATCAAAGGTCACCAAAGGTTTTTGGCCAATAACTCCGTACAGGAACAAGATACAGACGCGTGGATGGTCTCATTGTGTTCAGCTCGTCAAGACGCATCGAATGATATACATGATGACCTCGAGGTCACGTGACCTGAGGTCAACCTTTGACCTTGACCTTTCGAGGTCAACATATATATCATTCGATGCGGATTGACGAGAGGATCACGATGATGCCCTTAGTTTGTTCCTATCTTGACTAATTCGAAAGTTATTCGAGAAAAACTCTCTCCATATTTAGCGCCGCCATTTTAACTTTTTCGACCCCTGTGACGTCATCTTTGACCTGACCTGAAAATGACCTTAGTAAAAATTGTAGATCTTGACCGTGCGTATCCGATGCCGTTTACCGCTTGTCGCTATCTTGTTTCGTTCTCGAGATCTCAGGGGGGGGCGGTCATCCGCCCCCCCCCCCCGTCGGTACTAAGTTGGCGCAGACCCCCGTCGGTGCGCGGGTTAAGGTGGGAGGGTCCCTTTAATGAACGATGCCTCGATGCATGCGATGATTATACTTAATACACGGTTTCCCGTGCATAATATACGAATACTGCATGGGGGAGCGGGCAATAGCAAAACATATTGCCCGATGTGACGTCACTGTCGCCCGAGGGCGACAGTGACGTTACAGAGGGCAATATTTTTGCTATTGCCCGCTCCCCCATGCAGTATTCGTTTTATTACATGGCCAACTCTCGGAATCTTTACTTAGTACCTACTCATTCATCCCGTAATAAAAAAATATCCAAACACAAATATCATGGTACAATTGAATGTATTGGATATACAATCATAGCCACGTCACATGTCTACGGCACACACTTATTATAGTTGTTTTCTGTTTTCTGTTTCTGTTTTCTGTTTCACGCCGTACTTGAGAGTGTGGAGACTCTTCGATTTGTAGCGTTCGCCGTCCTTGCGTTTTACAGTAATGAAGAACTCCTTCACAGCGTTGTCCAGGACATCGTTGCTGTGCATGCAGCTTTCAACAGATATGCCTTTTACTTGCAAGAACTCAATGAAGACGTCTTCTGCTGATTTAATCACCTTTTTAGTGCCCTTAGCACTGTGCGATGAAAATAGCTCGTAATGGTTTTAACGCACGAGATGAGTGATTAGAGCCCGAGTGTGTTAATGCACGAGTGAAACGAATGCATTAACGCACGAGTGCTCTAATCACTCATCGAGTGTGTTAAAACTATTTATGCACAGGGAAACTGTGTATTAAAAATATTAATATATGCTTTAAGGTGCGATTCCAGGCAATCGCCATGCTAAAGCGCTTTTATTTTGGGGCCACAGGGGCTTGGTGTTTTAGGGATATAGAAACTTGTGAACGCATGCCTACACGATAGCAGCACTCTGAACTTCTAAATTATTTTTGTGCATTTAGTGTATGGTTATGCGATAAATCATCTCATTATTGACGAAATTCGATAAAGAAAATATATCCATTTGTTTAATATAGGCATGCGTTAATTACGAGCGAGCGAGCGCAGCGAGCGAAGCGAGGTCTTTTCAATATAACGGAAAAATCTCAGTATGAGCGGCCCGGCCCGGCCCGGCCCGGCCTGTAACGCTTTTGAGAGGCTTATATCTCAGCAACCGCTGGACCGAATGGCCTGCGGTCTTTTTTGCTGGGTAGCCCCATCCCTTCTACCCCGTAATTGACTACTTTTGATACATCTCAGTGACCGCCGTGGCACGTGCCACGTGAAAAGTCAAGGGTGTTCAAGCAGTTTTGCAAAAGTAATGATTTTGAGAGGCCCATATCTCAGCAGCGGCTTGAGCGATTGTCTTGCGGTCATTTTTATAGGGTAGCTGCATCCCTTCTACCAAAGGTCGGATACTCTTCATCTATGTGAGTGACCCCCAGTGCACGTGCAAAATACAACAATAAGAGGTGCCAGATTTGTTCCCATTTCAGTAACTCGGTTGAATTACTGGGGCGATTTCGCTGAAACTTGGCATACAGGTAGGCACCCACCAGGCAATGCATTCCCATGTGTTGCGGTTATAGGGTGCTGCACTGCACGTGCGCACGTGCAGGGGGCGTTTCCAGATCTCGAGAACGCAACACATTCCCATGTGTTGCGGTTATAGGGTGCTGCACTGCACGTGCGCACGTGCAGGGGGCGTTTCCAGATCTCGAGAACGGCTGGGCCGATTGCGCTCAAATTTGGTACACGGTTGGGGACCGGTTAGTAGGGTGCCGTGCAAAAGTCATTTTGGACCCCGTTTGCACGTGCGCACGTGCAGAATGCCGCTTCCAGATCTCAGGAACGGCTGAGCCGATTGCGTTCAAATTTGGTACACCGCTAGCGACCGGTTAGAAGGGTGCTTTGCACAAGCCCGTTGGATGTACCCTCTCGCCCTTCTGCACGTGCAGGGCTCACTATCTCGCTCGCTCGTCCTTCGCCCAAAAGGCGTTTTACTGGTATATATTAACACATGGTTTCCCGTGTGTAAATGGTTTTAACGCACGACGTGGATGGATTGGAGCACGAGTGTGTTAATGCACGAGTGAAACGAGTGCATTAACGCACGAGTGCTCCATTCCATCCACGAGTGCGTTAAAACCATTTATGCACGGAAACGGGAAACCATGTGTTAAACTAATTAATACATGCTTAACGGTGCGAATTTAAATTAAAATTAAGCTTAGTCCATGACATTAAAAGGGCATTTTATGGGAATTCTTAGAAGAAAGTCAATGACCCTTCCGAAAAACTTCAGTCGAGAAATTCATCACTGCACGCGCGTGCACCAATTCAAAATAAATTGGAGCACGGCTACCTTCGAATTAACGCACGGTTAATCTCCAGTCATCTCCAGTGAACGCACCGTAAAGTATGCATTAATTTCGATTAACGCACGCTTAATTTCATTAGAGCACGCTCGTGGCAATAACGCACAGGCTCTCCCAAATTCGACAACTTCGAATCCCCAGTGAACGCGTCGCAAAGTATATATTAACCCGCGCCCCGTTGGGCTCTGCCGAGCAACGCGCCCGGTTGGGGGGGGGGCCATTTTGGCCCCCCCCCCCCTAAGATCTCGAGAACCACGCAACATAGCGACAAGCGGTAAACGGCGTTGGATAGCCCCAACGGGGAACTACCTTGTGACCCAATTTTATTGACCTAGGTCAAACCGATGACGTCACAGGTCAGGTCAAAGGTCCAATTTTCACCGTTTACAGGCACTTCAAGAAATGCGTTGTAAAATCGAGTAAAATGCATTTCATTGAAAATCATCGATGGGGAAATATTCTTCAAACACATATTTTGCTATTTGAGGTCACTGATACCAGGTCAGGTCACAGAGGTCAGGTCACGGGGGGGGGGTCACAATATGAAAGTGTCGTGTGATACATGTTTTATGGTCCATTTTTAATGACAAATGCGATTATATGGGTCAGGCAGCCTTTGGGGCCAGCTTAGATCACGTTTTGGTTAAGGTCAGGTCAAGGTCAGGTCAAGGTCAGGTCAAATTAGGTCAAATTTCAAAGTTAATATTTTTGCATAAAATGGGTATCGAATCGATGCAGCTCGTCACGGGGAGTTCAATGGTGGTCTTTGTTTTGCCGTACGTGGTCTAGAATGGCTAAAAATTGAGTTCAAAAATTTGACGTCATCATTTTTGAACAGTTTTTTCGCTATAACTTGGCCAAAAAACGAGATATCGATCTGAAATTTGGTATGTATATAGAAGAGCGCTGGGACTATCACATATATTCCGGTTTTTTCGAAATTCGGAAAATTTTTGGATTTTTTCAAAGTTTTTCTAAAAAAATCAATTTTTTAAATTTTTTTTTGGTCAAAAACCAAAAATTTTGAAAATCCGAGATAGCAGTTTTGTAGCGCCGCTTTTTGTCTACTAGACCATATAAAGAACTTTGAAATTGCTTGATAACTGTAGATTTGGTGAGCGTTTCAAGATTGCATGTTTTTTGCTCATTTTTGCTCGAACATGACCTCAGTTTGACCTCAATAACTCCTGACCTAAGGTGACCTAAGACTTGAAATTTGGTGTGAAGGTGTCAAATTGATGCCTGGGAAGGTACTGAAAATTTGGCGGCGCTGCGCGCCGCCGTTTTCTTGCTATTCAGGAAAAACCACAGGGGGGGGGGCCAAAATGGCCCCCCCAACGGGGCGAGGGTTAATTAAGATTTAGAAGAACAATGCTGACGCTTGACGGCATTGAGTTTCTCTGCAAAATGTTTTGCACGTGCTGAGAGCTTATTCTTCCAGGTCCGGACGTCATCGTTATTTTCGTGCGTTCTTCCTTCCTTCCTTATTTTCGTGGTATAAAGGGCCTTGCGTTCTTCATTACTCTATGTTCAATGTTCATTACTGTCAGTCATCACTCCTTAGGTGCAATAAATCGACAACCAACATCCGAATTCCGAATAAGCTCTCAGATGTTGAAATTTGAATAAAATATGATTAGCTATGACGAGCCCGTCATAGGCGTAGGAGCAGGGGGCGAGGGCCATGCCCCCCCCCCCCCCACACACACATACACAATTTTCAGTTATTTTGAAGTAAATCCTTATTTTTTATTTAAATGCAAAACTAAGAGTAGGAAATGGTTCAGCAGGGTGAGATGAGTACAAAACTGCAAAAAAAAAATTAAAGGGGCATTGGGGCTCCCACAAAGTGACATTGAAGTTTCACTGCCTCCCCCCCCCACACACACACACACACACTTTTCGTGAGGTTCCTACGGCCATGGCGCTCGTGGCCGTCGCCTGTGATCGCTTTCAATCAAAACATTGTGATGATAACTCAGATAGCATTGCAATTACCTAAATGTTGTCATTTGGATTATATCTCGATGTAAGAAAACTGCTTGAACGGTGTATAAATCGACACGGAACAGCTTCATATCACAGTACCTAAAAAGTATGTAAAGGCCACAATTATGGGGTGGGGACTAGGGCTGTTTATTTAAAGCCAAGGGTATAGGCTCCAACAGTGGCGAATCCAGCTCAGAGCTTTTTTTTGGGGGGGGGGAACCATAACAATTTATCGATTCTTTCCATGCCTCGTCCATAGGCGTAATGTTAAAATTATGCCGTTTGGGAGGGGCAAATGCCCATTTTGCCCCGCCCCCTGTATCCGCCACTGGGCTCCAAATCCTCCGTTATTTATAAAAAGTGAGTGCCCAAGTGTCTGAAATGTTTGAATAGCATGTTAGAGACGTCAGCGGGGTATCATACGCTGCATTTTGCAAGTAACATAGGCCTACCATTAACTTGACCTCAGATTAGTCATCTTTATTTTCTTAAGCGCGTGATGAAACATTCACCGTCGATTCGAAACGTTTAGTATAAGTATTTATATCCCACATATCGATTTGTGACTTTATTTAATTAACCTACCCAGCTCATTTGATTGAACTGAACTTACTCCAGAACCACGCTTGCTGTGCGCGCTGCACAACCTTCGCCTGACTAGCAGGCCCCGCTGAATAACGAGCATTACGGTGCACCGTCTTTTAAAAGCGATATCGGTGCACATCAAAAAGACGTCGCTGAAAATACGCGTACAAGGCCGCCGGAAGTTTCCGTCGGTATTCGCGATATCAGTTGATGCGCTGGACGCCGCTCAATCGCCGAGGACACATGACATTCTTGACAGGACATTTGCCTTGCTCTCACGGTTGACAAAGCATGCTTAGCTCCGTGGCCTAATAATGAACTTTTGTGAAAATAAAGGTGTTGCAGCTATGCTTCAAATAAAACGAATTTTTTGTTGATGGTTAAGTGTATTCTTAGTGCGAATAGGAAAATGTTCAGTAAAAAAGGTACATATCTAGTTTTCTTACTCTCGTTCATCGGCAAACAGCTGCCCATTTACGAAAAAAAAAACTTTCAGTCTTCCAGTTCGCAGTCACAAGATCTTATCTAACGGTGTGCAGCCCCGTGCGTCACCGCTACTACGCACGAAGCTGCCCGACCTTCGGTTGCGTGCACCATCAAACTTGCATCAATCGACAGTCGCAAAGCAGCCCCGTCGTGAACGGTAGACGAAAGGTCACAGCGGTCATTCATACCCGCGGGCCTGGCGCCAGCGGTGGCGCCGGCGCGGCCGGGAACTGCGGCAAAACACGCCGGCAGGTAGGCCAGCGTCGCTAGCGACGACGTCGTTCCCGAGCAACGCCGTGCGGAGCGAAGGTCCGCCATCGACCGCGACGCGCGGGCGCCGGATGGTCGCCAGTCGCCGCCTCACCTGTCGGTCGCGTCGTGTCGGAGCCGGCGCCGGGCCGGCGCCAGGTACCCTCTGCGTGCGGCCGAGCCGCGGACGGTGGAGCGCCCGTGCACCAGCCGGCGACTGGACGGCGCCACAGGCCGCCAAGGTGACCCCGAGGGACGGGGTGACGCCACGGCGGCACTGACAGAGAGCTGGGGCGACCAGCAGACAGGTCAGCCAGCTGCTGATAGCATCGACCATCGACGTGCTCTCGGTCAGAGCATTCTCCTGGAAGGTATCAATATCTGAAGCTTGAAGGTCACTTCCGAAGGGCAGACGCAAACAATTCCAGGGAGGTGTGCGTTTCGGGCCAATTCAGTCTAAGGATCTCAAAAGAGCCAACCAACGTCTGACAAAATGGTGCTGAAGAGAAATCCAAACTCTGCAAAACTTGAGCCTCTGGATAAGGAGAAACTAAGAGAGGAGGAAAATGCGAAGAGGGCAATCTCTCAGTCTACGCTTTATTCCGGGTACGCAGCATGCGTGAAGCTTCATACATTCACTTATTTAACTGGCCGCAGTGTAGGTTTTTCCAGTCATGTTAGTGTTACCCTACAGTGCGTTGATATTCTTTTATTTTTTTTTTCATTATTGCATTTTCTGCTCACATCTTATTGAATCCACCATGATCCTCATTCCTCAATTACCTTCATGATCTCCGTGCACATAGGCCTAAATGCATATTGCAATTTGCAATACATGCTTTTGATTTTATAACTAAGGCCTATAACTGTTTATCGCCGCCGGAGGCACTGCGGCACAGCATAACTTCCGGCGTTTGACGCTAGTGCCACCTGTTGGTAGAAGTACAAGCTATCTCGCGTCTTGTCATTGAGCTTAGGTATGGAATATCAAATAGTGAATGCTTAATTTTTTTTGTTTCATTAGACGTCACATTCAGACTTTACCTCCATTATAAGTTTGAAAGTTATGACAGTCGAACAATTACATTTATGCACGGAGTTGTAGGCTCTACGGGGTAGGTATACCTACATGTAGGTAGACCGTAAGACCCTGTGGGTCAAATAAGCATGGTTTATGTGAGCAATTAAAACAAAACTATACAGCTGCTAATTGTTTTGACTTACTTTCAGGACGGGCCAAACTGAGTACCTTCCAAAGCTTGACGACGATGAAGAGCACCCAATGCCATACTTCATTACGGCGACTGCTACCCTGCCTCGGCCCGCCGAAAAACCCTGGGAAAGCTTGGAGGTACCTTATATGATGTATGAACTAACTTTTTCTGAGAAACTTGTTAACTATTTGCAGAGTGCAGTTATACTTTATTTGACTTGCATCGGAACGCGTTTAGTGTGGGGTGAAGCTGAAGCACCAATGCCCCGCATTGGTGCACCAATGCCCCGCAAATGCCCCGTTACTTTGCACCAATGTAGTAGGTACCTACTCATGCTCCTGTCTGGGTTCGCCCCATTGCAGGAGATCCGCGCCCGGAAGCGGATGGACCACTGGCTGCAGAACAAACCGTTCCAGCTGGAAGTGCTCGACGAGTTTCTGGCCGATGTCATCGTCGACGAGCTGGCCACAGTCGCCTCCGTCGCTATGCAGGAGGGCAAGTACAAGGTAAGGAGGATGGTTAGGGTCGACCTGCGTCAGTATCGACTTTCCAATAATGCTGATGTCTTGGGCATAAGATCACTTTTGTTTTTACGTGATAACTGATAAACACAGTCTTTTATTCGGACAAGAGTTTCCATATTCATTATCGAACTACCCCGGTATACTATGGATGTTATTCAGAGTTCCGTCTCCGTCTTGAGTTGAGATATAATTATTCAACAACGTTTCGGGACTGACAGTCCAGCATCTATACTAACACCTCGCCTCAAACATTCCGAAGATTGTACCCAATTCCATCCCTCCACTGGCGCTCACCTTTCACTCTCCTACCACCGGCAGCTGAAGCAGGACCAGGTGAAGGCGGCCTACATCGAGGAGGAGATTGTGCCCACTGTGGTGGCGGACAGCTGTCTGCTGGCTGTCTGGGAGCTGCTCGTGCACACTGGCCGCACGCTCAACAAGCCCACCTTCGAGGAGGTGTGTATGAGTGTAGGTGGCGCCACGAGCGATGCAGTAGGGGATAGCATATTGGGAGAAGGCTCTAACGGTCTTTATAGACATCAGGTGTAGGTGGCGTCGCGAGCGTTGCAGAAGGGGAAGGTTGCGCATCGGGAAGGGTCTGGCCGTCTGGCATGGCATAGGCATCAGGTCAGGGGATGAGACCCCATTTAACCCGGCAGTTGCTGGGGTATTTCGCCACCCACCGTTTGCTGGGGGGGGGGGCGTTAAACGCCCCCAGCCGATAACTCGAGAACCAATAGGCGCAGCGAAACGCACGAGGCGGCAAACGAAAGAACGCGACGAGACGCTTCAGATGAGTACTTTAAAGTTGAATTTTGAGGTCACAGGTCGGGTCAAGGTCAGGTCAAACACCTGAAATCGGGCTTTCAGTAGCATGGACTTCAGGACTTCGCAATGGGCGCCTCTCGTCATAAACTCTGTCAAAACGGTGCACAATCCATCATATAAGGCCTACAAGAGTGTCAGCTCCATGCAGGGGTCAGTCAAGCATAGGTCAGGGTCAAGGTCAGGTCAACCGGGCAGGCACATATCCCCGAAAATAAAAACTGATATTCGCAGCCTGTGACACATGTTTTATGGGTAATTTGGGGCGTAGAGCACGATGGTGGCATTCATTTTATCATATGTGTACGTGTTTGGCTAAAAAAGTTCAATTTAAGAAATGCATGTATCATGGTCGTGAAGTAGTCACGAGAAATTGCCAAGATTCAGTTCAAGATTTTGGAAAATGCGGAACGATAATCAATAATCGAAGATAGCCATTTGATTGTTCATGGTATTGGCAGTCTAATGGCGTTTACGGCATGTCTGTATGTCTATTCTGTGATTTTATATGATTTTTTGAACATATGCCGTTTTTGGTCGAAAACTCAGAAATCATGACGTCACTAAAACCTCGATATCTCAAAAATTTTCCGACCGATGTTTTTGAAACTTTGTCACAATAAGCTTCAATCAATTCCCTACAGGTACCCAAAATTTGGCGCGCCTGCGGCGCGCCGTTTTTATGCTATGGCCCGGCGAAAAAAGTGGGGGCGTTTAACGCCCCCCCCCCAGCAACTCGCGGGTTAAGCTGGAAAGCTTTGTCATCAGGGCCAGGCACGCATCTTCAATCAATTCGGAAATCGTGTCACAAGTACAATCGTGTCAGCCAGAGCCGGCAGTCGGGCTGACCTCCGTACCCCCTGTGACGTCATCAGCTGGAGGCCCGGCTGGGCGACACCCCGCTGGACCCGGTGACTGACCAGTGACCACCTGTGACGTCATCAGCTGGAGGCCCGGCTGGGCGACACCCCACTGGACCCGGTGACTGACCAGTGACCTCCGTACCCCTGTGACGTCACCAGCTGGAGGCCCGGCTGGGCGACACCCCGCTGGACCCGGTGGCTGAGCAGTGACCTCCGTACCCCCTGTGACGTCATCAGCTGGAGGCCCGGCTGGGCGACACCCCACTGGACCCGGTGACTGACCAGTGACCTCCGTACCCCTGTGACGTCACCAGCTGGAGGCCCGGCTGGGCGACACCCCGCTGGACCCGGTGGCTGAGCAGTGACCTCCGTACCCCCTGTGACGTCATTAGCTGGAGGCCCGGCTGGGCGACACCCCGCTGGACCCGGTGGCTGAGCAGTGACCACCGTACCCCCTGTGACGTCATCGGCTGGAGGCCCGGCTGGGCGACACCCCGCTGGACCCGGTGGCTGAGCAGTGACCACCGTACCCCCTGTGACGTCATCGGCTGGAGGCCCGGCTGGGCGACACCCCGCTGGCCGCTGGGCCCAGTGGCTGAGCAGTGACCAATGACCATTGTACCCCCTGTGACGTCATTAGCTGGAGGCCCGGCTGGGCGACACCCCGCTGGACCCGGTGGCTGAGGCGGCGCTCAAGCAGCACGTGCGCGAGGAGGATGATTGGAAGACCAGCATGGACGAGGAGAAGGCGCTCGGCGGCCTCACATGGGAGACGCTCGTCTTCCACCTGCACAAGATCGCGTCCTCGCTCACACTCAGCGAGAACTTCGCGCTCAGTCAGCTCCAGGTGACGTCCAGCTCGGTGTGAGGACGGTAGGAGTGGGAATGGGAGGGTGATTGGGAGCAACGGTAGGAGAGGTAATTGGTTTCTGCCTCTCGATCTGACGTAGCGGACCTGTTTATTTATTTATTTATTTCAAAAGATCGCCGACGGGATAACCCATTGAGTGACGAAGTCAATATTTAAAACAGTGATTAAAACTGTGATGACTGCGTGGCGCCTCCAGGACCCCAGAGAGCCGTTTTAGTGTTTAACTGACGATTGTGGTTCCCTCAGAGCCCAAAAGCGCCGGTTTGGTGTCAGAGTTCTGACTGTGGTGGCCCCAGGACCTACTACTGGTGGTACATAGCGCTGGTCTGTTTGTTTTTTGTTTTTGTTTTGTTGGGTTAGGCCCTTTCGGTCCAATTAGACCATTTCAGAGCCGAAAGGATGTTAGGAATTAGGGGGAGACATTGGCCTGGGCAGGCACCCTAGTGAGTCACCGGGGCTGAGCCCATCCCGAAGGACAGGCCGACCAGACCCAAGGTACTCACTGCACCCGGCTACGGGGTGCGCTCCCTCGGGAGCAGCGGTGCCGCTCCAAGGGAGCAGCCCGCATGAGATAAAGTTGCCTGTCCAGCCCGGAGGGGGGTTGCGGCGTGGAGGAGAAGGATTTCAGTATCCTGAGGATAGAAGCACGGAACGGTGTACATAGCGCCGGTTTGGTGTCTGATTTATTACTGACGACTGTGGCCCAAATGACCTGCTAATGGTGGGTGTCTGACCGCTGTGGCCCAAATGACCTGCTAATGATGGGTGTCTGACCGCTGTGGCGCCTCCATGACCTGCTAATGGTGGGTGTCTGACCGCTGTGGCGCCCCTGCAGGACCTGCTGCTAGTGCAGAGCGCCGGCAGCGCCATCTGCGAGGCCTCCTCCGAGGCCGGCCAGAGGGAGCTGCAGGATGCCGACGAACAGGAAAAGGTCAGCCGACCTCCGCGAATCGGCTGAAAAAAATACCAACAATGGATCGAGCCCGGACCTGACCTTAACTGACCTGACACGTCAAAATCAGGTCGGTCAGATCAGGTCAGCTTCTATTCGAGACAGTCGCTGAGGCATCAACAATGTGATAAGGGAGCTGTTCGTGTTGAGTAATGGGCCCATATGTATAATGCAATGGACCTAATCGGTGTTTGAAGCCCGTTTGAATAGCGTTGCGCAGGCTTGCAAGCTGCACACCAAATCTTGCTAATCTAATCCTGATTGAGCGGGCGATACTGTTCGCTACACTTTCGGTGTTTTCGCTCACCAAGTACCATCAATGTGCATCGTTGTTTGCAGTAAGAAAATAAAAATGAAATGCCTCTATAAGTATGTATGGATTATGGAATGACATTTCGTACGATAAGAACTACAACATGTGGTTGTTTCCTTTGTTACACACTAACCGTAAAATGTCGAATAAAATTCCAAAAGATGAAAACCTTTTTAAACATGTGAACACAGCTGGTGGCACCCCAAAGATTTGCACTTTATACTGCATGTCGCCTTATGTAAGAGGAGCCCCTGTGGCAGCACACCACTCGTTAGTCGGCGTTTAGTGTTTATTGGTGGAAATGGCGTAATTCGACAAAGGTAAACAAATAAGATGGCGAAGTACTAAAATGAGCAGCATTATTGAATATCGTAGAAGAATAACCTTATGCTCACTATCTTTAAACTACAGACTACAGGGCCGGTGCCACAGTTCCGGAGTGGTATACCAACTTACCTGCACGCTGTGCAACCGGAGCTACATCGGCGAAACCGGACGTCACATACGACTTCGCTACAATGAACATCTACGGGACGCGAAGAACCACCGTATGGACTCACCGTGGGGCGACCACTTCAGAGATGACCACCCTCGATGTCGCCCAGAGCCCCAACACATCGCGGCCAAGATCCTACAGACATGCAACACCAGCAGAGACAGAAAAATAGCAGAGTCGCTATGGATAAGGACATACCGACCAGCCCTAAACACCAACATCGCATCTTGGGCAGTTCTGTGATTAGTGTGAACTGTCAGACTGAGACGTGATAGATGTTGGGATAGCCTCATGACTGTTAGATCTTTTGGCTTTTGAGATGCTTAGTTAGATGTTTTATTAAATGCCGATGTTTGATTGAATCATTGAATGGTTGATTATATGTATGATTAAATGGAATATTGAATGGTACATTGATAGATGATTGAATGGACGACTGTGGGTCTGATTGATTTAATGGTTGAAGGGTTACTTGATTTGATGATAAAATCGTTGTTTGTTTGATTGAATGACTGCTTGATTGTATGATAAAACGTTTGATTGAATGATTTGGAATGGATACATACTTGAATGGTTTGTCGACTCCATGACTGAATGTAATGGGTGTAACTAGTTGATTGAACAATTGGTTGAATGGCTAGTTTGTTGGCTAGACAATCGATCTTTTGAGTAGTTGGTAGTTGGCTAACACCTTGCATGTTAGTTGTAATTATATTGTGTGTTTCTAAATTGACTAGCATAGTTATTAGTTATTCGTTAGATCACAAGTGATCTCATACAGTTGTATTTGGTTACGCTACCTTATGTATACCTGTTATTTTAGTCTTGCGTTGATTAAAAGAGGCCATTCTACTTATATGGCACGAGAATGTGACTAATATTCGTTGGTGGGATCAGTGAATTCGGCGCTTTTGTGACGTTCAATTATTTGTACATTTCTGTGGCTTGTATAGTTAACTTTTTGAACTGAAGAAGGAACGTTTCCGAAATATATTCATTGATTTTAGGCTAATTTTTTGGATTGTTTAAAGATAGTGAGCATAAGGTTATTCTTCTACGATATTCAAAGGTAAACAAACATAAAAACAAGCAAAGAAGCAAATAAATAAACAAACAAAAAACATGGTGACAGTCTGGGTGACTTTCGGTACTAACAAACAGTGTTTGTCTGATTTTCAAACAGCCTGCGATTATTGGCAAGCAGCGCCGTGACGGTGTGTTCCTATCATTACACAGCGAGACGGAGGTGGGAGGGGCATTTCCACGCAGCTTTCCACGCTCTAATACGTATAGGACTACTGGGTAAGTCTATCGTAGGCGTCGGAATCTGGAGTGAGTCCTTGGCTGCATATATGAGCTGTCTGATGGATGGACATGAAACAGTGGTGGGTCATGTTGCTAAGAATGGAAACAGTGATGGTCGCAATGGTGGAAACGGGAGGGCCGAATAGAGCAGGAACAAGAGACGATTAGGGAAGTGAGTTGTCAAGCTGGTGTACAATTGATCAACTCGAGGGTACTGAAAGTTTCGTCGCGATCAGCCGCTTTTTTATACGCGAGTTATTCGCCAAAAACCGTGGGGGGTCCGTTCGACCCCCTTCCCATACGGGCGAGGTTTAAGGTCAACGGTTTAGCCTCCAGAGTGCAAAAACTGAAGAAAAAAATATGCAGTAATTAATTACACGGGCTTGCATTGCATTATACGGTGGCTTACTGGTATCGTGTTTCCCTTTTCAAGACTTGTCGAATGAATTAAAATTTGATATTGAAAGTCAACTTGAAAACGTATCCTCAGGTTATGGTCATGACGTATCCAAAAAAAGATCATGTTTCATATACCTGCCAGTCGATCAGTATTGTTAAGATAGTCACATTCGTTTAGCTTTTTATAGCTTATAGACTTCTAGCAAACGTTATTCCGTCGCAAAACTCAAATTTGCCTTTCATGAGCAAGGCGATCTCGTGTGTCTAAAGTAGACACATCGCCCGACCTTGCCCGCGTCCAGTTCGCTGTTATATGGTGATAATTTTAACCCTCGCCGGGCCAGGACCTTTTTCATAACGCGAACGGCCAGGGTGCTAGTGGTACCCCCAGTGGCGGATCTACGTTGGGGCAAAATGGGCAATTGCCCCCCCCCCCCCTAAAAGGAAAACCTCTGGGCAGGGCTGCGGAGTCGATGGATTTTCAGCGACTCCGACTCCGACTCCGACTCCGGCTTTCAAAAACCAGCTCCGACTCCGACTCCGACTCCGGCCAGAATTGTCGACTCCGACCGACTCCAACTCCCGACTCCGACTCCGCAGACCTGACAGGGCTGCGGAGTCGACGGATTTTCGGTGACTCCGACTCCGACTCCGGCTCGGGTTTCTAAAATCGACTCCGACTCCGACTCCGACTCCGGTCACAACTGTCGACTCCGACCGACTCCGACTCCGACTCCGACTCCGACTCCGCAGCCCTGCCTCTGGGCAAACATATCTTTTTGCCCCCCCCCCTAAAAAAACTACAACTTGAATACTAAAAATATGGTGTTTGAAAAGAAAATGTGAAATAAATGGAGGACTAGAAGGTTGTCATATTCGTGATATTAAGTTGTGAGCTAATAAAAAGTCCTCCGCCCAAACAATGTGGCAGTCAGACGCTGTGAAATGTGAAGTAAAGCTGCGCTGGTGGTAGCTGTAACATGGCAGGCGAGATAGAACTGGTTGAGTGAACGATATGGTTGAGCTACTGCCGCTGTGTCACTCAGTGATGGCCAGAAAGAACGGTGTACTACGTGCCTTTGAGAACAAGTGCGAGATAGGTTTCTGAGAGGAATAACGTAAAGAAGATTACCAATCGCGGTTTTCTCATGAGCCATACCGTTATCTAACGGGGACAAACACAGAAAGGCTCAGTCAGAGCTTTTGGTTTGCGAGGTGTTGGAGAAGCTCAGTATGTTGTGGGAACTTAACGCTGTTCAGTGTGATTCCGTTGGCTGTTGCGCTGTGGTCCTATGTAGTCTGTAGAAGCATCGTTTATCTCCTCTCGAAAGTAACACTTATTGCATAATTTTGCTAGCTCGCGAAGTTTAGTCCCAAAGTTAAAGAATGTTCATTGTAATTGCATCAATAAATGCAGGACCGAAAACAAATGCGCTGTTCTTCGTCTATTTCTTGTTGGGATTCTTAATCGACTGATCTCATTTTCTATTACCGGAAACAACTTAATACGTTTAACTACGTGGCAACCCTGACTGCGTATAGTATCGCAGGTACGCTGATGTGGCCTTTGGTCGTGGGCATTTACACATGAACCTGCTGCTGCGACCCTTATCGGTCTCCGGATACAGAAGCCCTTGAGAACCGGCGCGGGCGGACCTTTCGGACGAGGTCTTGCCGAGGTGATGCGGGAGGTAGAGGACGGACCGTCCATAGCGCCGTTGAGCTATTCTCTAACTATCTCCCGGAGTCAGGGCGGCTGCAATTTTTTTAGCGCTGCCCTGGCTTGGCCGGACTGACAAAAATGTAAAAAATCAAAAAAAAAAAAAATCCCGAAATCCGAGGAGAAAAATAGGGGTAGCTCGTTTTTTTTTTGTTCCTAAGACTGGACGTTTGAAATTCTCGCCGACTTGCCTGGCGGCGCAATGTTTGCCCCCCCCCCCCTAAACTCAAATCCTAGATCCGCCACTGGGTCCCCCCTGGCAATTGGCTTCTATGGCACTTAGAAACGCCAAGGGTAGGTGGACCCATAGGATAGCTCGCCCCTGTGCAAATTTGGTTGCTCTATGTCAATATTTAGGGGGTTTGGGGGGGGGGGGTATAAATGTAAAAATTTTGCTGAAACTTCGCTTATAACTTTTGCTCTAATCAAGATACAGCAAAAATAAAAGCACCAGTGAACAGCACGCCCATGCGCATCGAATGGTACACCGTTTTTTTTTTTACAAGTTAAAGTGAACTTAAAATTTTTCTCATTTTTAAGTAAACTTAAAATAATTAAATAAGTTCAAGTCATCAAAATCGCATCATATCGCACATCATAACCGGCTGATCACATGGACCACAATGACACCATTTTGAAGCTCTAGCCCCACTGTGTGCTAAGTTATTAGCAACAACGTAATTTGACCTCATTTGACCTCAGATGACCTGACCTAAGTGTTTTTTTTTTTCAGCAAGAAAACACCGAATTCATCTTTAATAGAGCTAAAAACAACACAAAAACGTTGAAATGGAGCATATGCCATTGGAGCTATTCAGACGAACTTTCTTAAAAATTGTCGTGATCCCTAGATGACCTCAGGTCACCCGAAATTGAAAAAACCTGGATGTAGGTTATACAACTCGATAAGCTTAGAATATCCTGCCAGTTTGAATCAAATCGATGATTAACTCTAGATTTCATTGACAAAATAGATTTTCAGTGCCATCTTGACCATGTACCGGTTTTGGTAACCTTGTGACCTGACCTGACGTCACTGGAACGCGAAACTCCTAGGACACGTGTGAAATGGTTGCCTTAAAGGAAAAGGGCCACCTTTAACATGGGGATTGAAACTGAGATAGCCATCTTGTAGCCCGTGTCCGAAAACCTATCTGCCTACCTCCTTACGGCCGATTTCGGCCTCCATTCGTAGTTATCGGCAATTTTAAAAGAAAATACGCCAGGAATGCGTCCTTATCCCAGGAA